AAACAGAGTATGAAAATCAGAGCAAAACTAAATTGATTACTAACTCCCCCCAAATGAATTACCAACTACCAACAACCAATTAGGATTCTTATTTTCAATCTACACTGAATTTGGAAGGGAAAATTTTTTAGAGAACCCAAGTTATAAGTTGATCTCACTTTGTTTATGGAGAGTAGGTGAGAAAAAAATGCAGATGATAGGGAACGTTTCTACCATCCTTTAATCAATATTTCTACCTCTCGAATGTTAAATCAAATGGTTGTTATAATCAACGTTCAAACAGTCAGGTAGGTAGCCCTGATGATTAATTTCTTGAAATTATCGATCAATTGCTTCAACTTTCATTTTTTAATCATCATTATTTCTTTGATGATTGATATGATATCGTTGGGGAATTTGGCTTCCGGCAGCACTACATAGTGCAGTCATCCAATTTTATTTTCATAGTGTTGAGGTTGCTGCTTTCTTTTTTCATAGAAGAGTGTAAAGATAGAGTTTAAACTATAACAACCTCTTATTGATAAACCTCAGTTGTTTCATGTAATTGCAGGTTCATCTGGCAGAGTAAATATGGTCATAAAAATTGCCATAGGTAATATACATGCTGAACTTGTAGTTTGTCTTGATTTCATCCTAAAATTTCATGGTGAAGCCCTTATAATCTCTTTTACTTCTATGCGTACATGCTGAACTTGTAGTTTGTCTTGATTTCATCCTAAAATTTCATGGTGAGGCCTTATAATCTCTTTTACTTCTATATGTTGTACTTAAAAACAGTAATACAGATGTTACTCTTAAAATATAAAGGACATTCAGGAATCGTTTCTTTTGCTACAGGTGTATTGGTAGGCATTACCGGGCTCTTGGTAATCTCTATTGTGGTGATATGCAGAACTGGAACAAAAATATTCATTTGGAAGAAAGATAAAAAGATTGATCAGAATATTGAAGCATTTATAAGGAATCATGAATCCCTTGCCCCAAAGCGATTTAATTTCTTAGAGGTCAAGAAAATGACAAACTCTTTCACAGATATAGTGGGAAGAGGGGGATTTGGAACTGTCTACAAAGGAAAGCTAGCTGATGGGTGTATTGTTGCAGTGAAGGTCTTAAGTGATTCCAAGGGTAATGGTGAAGATTTCATTAATGTAAGTAGCTAGTGTGAGTAGAACTTCTCGTGTTAATATAGTGACTCTTGTGGGATTTTGTTACGAGAGGACTAAAAGAGTCCTTATCTACGAGTTTGTGCCAAATGGTTCCCTAGATAAGTTCATATATGACAAAGAAACTTTAAGGACAAACTGCAACCTGGAGATGCCTACACTGTATAGAATTGCAATTGGTATTGCTCGAGGATTGGAGTACCTACATCGTGGTTGTAACACAAGGATTGTGCACTTTGACATAAAGCCCCACAATATCCTTCTGGATGAAGATTTTTGCCCGAAGATTTCTGATTTTGGCCTATCTAAGCTCTGCTTAAAGAAAGAGAGCCTCATCTCCATGACAGGTGCACGAGGAAATGCTGGATATATTGCTCCCGAAGTATTCTGCAGAAGCATTGGAGGTGTCTCTCATAAATCCGATGTCTATAGTTATGGAATGATGATCCTTGAGATGGTTGGAGGAAGAAAAAATATCGATGCAATGGTATCACACACAAGTGAAATTTACTTCCCACATTGGATTTATAGCCAAATTGAGCTAGGTAAGGATTTAAGATTTCATGGAGATATAAATGCTGAGGAGGAGAAAATAGCCAAGAAGATGATAATAGTGGGATTATGGTGCATTCAGACCAATCCTTTTGATCGACCATCCATGACCAAAGTGGTAGAGATGTTAGGAGGGACACTTGAATCCTTGCACATCCCACCAAAGCCTTTTCCCTCTTCCCCAAAGGAATCACCCAAACATTTGTCCACTACATCCTCATCATCATGAAAGAAGTTATAATTTAATGAAAGTGAGATAAAATAAGTAATGTAGAACAAGAAGATACTATTGTGCAACAAATTTTCAATTGAAGAAATCTTTTGTAGTAACTATAATTAAAATATTTAAAGCTTTTTCTTTTATAATTTTCCTCATTAATTGTGATTCATACCTTTTATCTCTCTCCTACAATGGAGACTCGCACGTGACTTTCACGCGCTCTAGACCACGAGTGTACGCCTATGTTATATCTTTTATGTGACCTGTTTAGCTCATTTCAGACCAGTTCCTGATTTTGATTAGCATATTCTACCCATTTTTTAGGTTAAATGGGTCAAATTCACAACAATATAGTTTTTTCTTAAAAAGAAAAACACAGATAAGCACCTTATAGTCACTTTTGGAGGAGATCAACTTAAAAAATCCGGTAAAATTTTTGTTAGAATTCATCATTTAATCTTAGTCAATTACATATAATAAGCTTTTGATCCCTATAGATGCATGAAGAGTATTGAGATACACCCACAATAGTTAAAATCTAACATCAATAATCTATATCAGTTACATATATATCAAAATAAAGTATTCCAAGTCAACTGAAAGACCTAATATAATATTTCAAAATCTTCCTTCCTACATCCATTTCCATTAATCGTTTTTGTAATAATTTCAAGTAATCACCATTACCTTTCCGTGCATTTACTTCCCTAGACCCCAACTCATCACCTTACTGCCAAAACAGTTCTGTTACTAAACTCATCCAGCAACTGTGCGCCTTTTGCAGGAGATGAATTCTGGTCGTTTCTCATTATCAACATTATCAGAGCCACAAAATTTGGACGAAAGCCAAGCTTAAACAACATGCCTTCTAAGAAATGGCCAAGAAACTCTATCATATGCCTTACTAATATTTAAATTTAGTGCAAAAGACCCCTCCTACTATATATATTTTTTCTTAAATAATGAAACAGCTCAAAGACAAATAAAGCATTATCTGTGATAAGCCTTCCTGGAACAAATGCTGATTGTGTAGAATGCACAATACAATTTAGAAAGACTTTCAAGCGATTAGCAACACATTTAGTTACTGGTTTCATGATTACATTGCAAATATTTATGACCCAATAATCCAAAGGGTTTTAGGATGAGATGCTTTTGGAACTAAAGCTATATATGTATGATCTACTGAGCCAGGCAATGAATGATTATTTAAAACATTCAGTAAAAACATCATCTTCAACAATATTCCTGGATTTCTGAAAGATGGCAGTGGACATACCATCAGGTCCTGGTGCTTTTGTAGGATTGCATTTGCTCGAGTGTGTGTATAAACATCTGCAGCTGTGTAGGGTTTTAAGAGTTGCGTATTCATTGTGGAGGTCACTCTTAGATCCACAGTGTTCAGTACCCTATCAATATTAGGAGCATTACCCATATCAAACGCATCAGGAAAATGATTCACAAAGATTGCAGTTATCTTATCAGGGCTTATCATCCATTCACCACAAAGATTGCGGTCTGAACATTGACTTTTCCATTCTACATGAGTTATATATATATATTACATATATATCAAAATGAAGTATTCCAAGTCAACTGAAAGATCTAACATTTCAAAGTCTTCCTTCCTACGTCCATTTCCATTAATGAGTTTTTTACAATAATTTCAAGTAATCACCTAACACCTTTCGGACCATTTACTTCCCTAGACCCAAACTCATCACCTTACTGCAAAAACAGTCTTGTTACTAAGCTCCTACAGCGGCTGTGTGCCTTTTGCAGGAGATGAATTCCAGTCGTTTCTTATCATCACAGTTTTGTTTTTCTCTGCTTCTGGTTTTCTTACGTGTGTCCAAGTCCAGTCCTTTGTCTGAATTTACAACTAACTCTGATGTACAGAGAACTTGTCGTGATAATCAGTACAGATGTGGGAACTTGACTGCCGGTTTTCCCTTCTGGGGAGGTGAGAGGATACAAGCATGTGGGCATCTTCTGTTAAAGCTTGAATGCGACAAGAACACAACCACGACTGGGATACAAATTGAAGGGCAAGGATACAATGTCTTGCAGATTGACAGCGAAGCCCAAGTTATGAAAATTGCAAGCAAGAATTACATGGATGGACTCTGTCCATCCGTCTTACGCAACACCAGTATTAATGGTTCTTCACTCTTTGATTATGTTACTGGTTATAAAGAGCTCATAATTCATTACAACTGCACGTATCGGAGTAACTATATACTGCCGCTTAGGCCGTTTAATTGTCCAAATATCGAAGGGTTTAATTACTATATTGAGGGTGATTATGATGCCTATACGAGATGTACGGATAATGTGAGTGTTGTAGTTGCAGACGAGTTCGACTCGGCCATGGAAGTTGATAATTTGATGAAAGCGCTGAAAGAAGGGTTTGAGGTCAAATTGAAGGTGGATGGTGAAGCGTGCCGGAAATGCGTGGAATCAAGTGGGACATGTGGGTTTGCTTTTCAGAGTCAAGGTTGCTACTGCGGTTACCCTTCTGAGTCTGACTCTAGAACATGCTCTTCTCCTCTAGGCCCAGCATCCTCCCAATTCATATCTCCAGAACCATCTCCAGGTGCGCAACTTTTTGACTAAATAATGTTATATCTAAATTACAGTCGGGTCATATATGATATGTATATATGTATGAAAAATGCATCTTAATGTTTTAAGTATTTAGAAGCATCTTGATTACCTACTCACCCCTCTGGCTGCTCACTATCTGTCCAACACAATCTTCCTGCAAATTTGAAGTTTTGGAATCTAAGGTTTCTACCAACTGGTATCACAGTCTTATGATCCTCGCTTCCAAATCCCAATTCTTCTTGTTAAACCTCTCCTCTGTGATTGTTTTTTCTCCCGTAGGTTCGAATCCCTATTTATGAACTCCTCTTCTCTAGATCTCTGGTTTTCGTTCTCTCTCAAAGCAAAATCGGCAATTTCTGACAATCGTAGAATTCAAAATCTAGATGAAAACACTCAGTACATCGGCCAAACACTGAATGCTTGCCTTGCGAGCTTTTGGAGGCGAATAATCGTAGATTCAACGAGTGTCGCTCGAAGCATGCTCCGAGGGAACGTAAAATGAAGCCCACGACGTGCACGATACTCCATCTCAGGTATGTCCTAACCGGCCTCTTGGAGTGGGAAAAATACTCTCGTCTACTGCCAAGTCTGCGGAATTAAATAAACTCGGCCATGGAGGGGAAAGAAATTGCCTTTTACTTACATAGTGTAGATTCAGAAGTTGGATATAACAATGGCGTGAATTACGTTCAGTTGAATTTCTAACCATGGGAAGTGATGTTGTGAATGGCAGAAATTCGTAGTATGAGGATTTACCTGCACACCAACTGTTTGTTGAAATCAGGCTAGTTTGAAAATACATTCAGATTGGCATTTTAAATGAAATGTTCTGTGAGCACAATTACGTATTTGATTTACAGCTAGGTTTTGGTAAATATAAATCTAACCAAACTCACAAGCAAATTTAAATTACCCAGCATAAAGTAGATATTATTTTGTTAATTTTACCCTATTGATCCAATCGAACATTTTAAAGTACTTGATCCTGCTTGATTCAACCCTCATTATGGAAGATCTTTTTCTGTATTCAAGAATCAGTGAATGAGAGAGGAAACGTATCGCAAGAAGAAGGGTCAAACTAGCCGAGCTTGTGTGCAATGAAGAAGAAAACTAGAACATCAGAAGTGTGAACTCTGCATTTTGCACACAATGCATAGTGCATTTTGTATTGTCATCCCTAATTTTCACAAATTTCCTTTTTCATTTCAATGGGGGGAGGGGTTCATGAGCCCAACGTTATATCTTAATTTACTGTCTAACGAAAACATGTTAGAAGTGGGGCACCTGTAAATCTCTTCGTTTGTGTATTTTTTTTCTCTTGGTTTTTTGTGCATCTCTCAAGCTTTCATATTACCTTTTTTGTTGTTTATGTTTCAGGTTAGTTTATACTGTTGCTTCCTAATTGGATGATGCTATTATTGGAAACTAAAGATAAATGCATATTTTGGCTTCTGTGACTTGACTACTAATTCTATTCATTATGTTCTGAAGGAAGATGGGATGCAAATGATTGCGCAGATGATACCTCTTCTACAAAATGTCATCCAATTGGTATATTTCTTTCTTGCACCTCTCTTTTTGAAGTCATAAGAGAGATTTCTAGGTGCTCCAAGCCATATAGACAAATTTCTAGTTAACCAGGGTAAACCAGATTACCACTGAAAAATCAACAATTCCAAATTAGCTGCATACTAGAAGTTACCTGTATTCTTATTTCAGATTAGTGGTTTTGATAGAATCCATGAATTGATTCAGCGGCTAGTTGGCAGGGAAGTAGTTTTATTTAAAATATAACCAAAAGCAAGAGTTAAAGCAAGGTAAAATTTACTTTCCTCTGGTACCAAGAAGACTCTTGACTCTATCTCTTAGGAAAAGAAAAAGAAAAAAAAACTTTTAATTAATCCAAAGGATGCTCGTCACTGATACCCGAAACCATCCATTAAGCAGAAATTTTTGAATCTGAAATATTGTTGAATCGATTGCAAGTTGTAAACAACACTGAAATAATCAGGCAGTTTGTTATGTTCCGCTGGCAAAGAAAACAAAGTGAATTAGCATAAAAAAAGTGAAAGAACTTTTCAGTTCTTTACTTTTGTTACCCTACTCATTTCTGCACCTGGTTTTGTCTTTGCTAAGCATTTTATGATAATTGATCTGCGAATCTCACGAATTTGGTCGGCTTCTTTCTGGTTATATCTGTATATATTTCCTTTTAATTTAAGTAATAATAATCAACATTTATTTTCCATGAAATTCTTAAGTGCATGTCAGTCATTTTTAATCTCCAAATATTGACACACCTCATTTTGTTTAATGTGGTTGCAGGATCATCTGCCAATCGAAATTGGGTGAAAAAAGTTGCCATAGGTACCAGGGAATGAACTTTTAGTTTGTCTTTGATCCTAACCTTTGGGCTGGAAGCAGCCTTGTTTCTTTTTGATCTGTTGAACTTTTAGGGAGTGGAAAGTAGATGGTGCTTCTAAATTAAAGCATGACATTATGGGAACTGTTCTTTTACAGGTGTATCAGCAGCCGTTACTGGAATCATGGTAATCTCTGTTGTGGTCATCTATAGGCTTAGGAGAAAACTATTCTTGATCTGGAAAAAGGACAAAAAGAGTGATAAGGATGTTGAGGAATTTATAAAGGCCAACCTATATCTTGTTCCAAAGCGATATAATTTCTCAGATATCAAGAAAATGACGAACTCATTCAGAGATACGGTGGGAAAAGGAGCATTCGGTACTGTTTACAGAGGAAAACTATCCGATGGCAGTATTGTAGCAGTGAAGGTCTTAAGTGAGTCCAAAGGCAATGGTGAAGATTTCATCAATGAAGTAGCCAGCATGAGTAGAACTTCTCATGTTAACATAGTTACTTTTGTGGGATTCTGTTATGAGAAAAGAAATAGAGCCCTTATCTATGAGTTCGTGCCTAATGGCTCCCTGGATAACTTCATATATGACAAAAGATCCTTCAGGAACACCCCTAACTTGGGAATGGAAACATTATACTCGATTGCAGTTGGCATTGCTCGAGGACTCGAGTATTTACATCGTGGTTGTAACACAAAGATTGTGCACTTTGACATAAAGCCTCACAATATTCTTCTTGATGAAGATTTTTGCCCAAAGATTTCAGATTTCGGGCTTGCTAAGCTATGTTTAAAGAAAGAGAGTGTCATCTCCATGTTGGGGGCACGAGGAACTGCTGGGTATATCGCACCAGAAGTATTCTGCAGAAACTTTGGAGGAGTCTCTCATAAATCTGATGTGTACAGTTACGGAATGATGATTCTTGAGATGGTTGGAGGAAGAAAAAATATTGATCCAAGTGTATCACAGACAAGTGAAATATACTTCCCTTACTGGATCTATAACCAACTTGAACCAGGTAAAAATTTAAGACTGGATGGCGATATCACAGAAGAGGAGGGCCAAACAGCAAAGAAGATGATAATAGTGGGATTATGGTGCATCCAAACTAACCCATCAGATCGACCCTCCATGACAAAGGTGGTGGAGATGTTGGAAGGGACGCTTGAATCCTTGAACATTCCACCAAACCCTTCCCTGTCTTCTACAAAGGAGTCAGCCTAACACTTTTCCATAAATTACTTCAGACTGAGTTTGATTGGAATTGTCTGCCCAGATCAACATCAATATACCTAGAGATTTCTGGTCTAACCGTACTAAACCTAATGTATATGAGCCTATTTGTCCTAGTTTTTCTTTTCAATTTTTCTCCCCTTCAAGTAATAATTTTTTTCTTTTTTAATTTCAGCAGTTCACAAAACTGAAGATTCAAAGTCCATCATTGAGTGTAAAAGTCATATTTCATCTTTTACCAGTTGGTTAGTTGAAGAACTCTCAAGACATTGATTTCATCCATTAGTTTTCAGTATTTCTTTTTTCTGGTTGGTCGATGCTATAAAATTACTTATTCATAGAAAAGAAGATCTAATTCATGAAAATATGGAGAAAGAATCAGCATGAATAATATTTAGCTTCTTAGACTTGATAATAAACAGAACAAATAAAATATGGATTCATGGTTCTATCATAACTCAAAATATAATTTTGGATGAAGTTTTTTTGTCAAAAGTTTTCTGATTTTGGCCTTTCTAGATAGTTCTTGAAAAGGAAATTGTACTTCCTCAACCAAAAAATTAGAGTATTGTATCAAAGTTTAAGCAGAGCTGTATATATAAATATGTGCGGTTGTAATCATAGATCCTACAATGAAATGGCTTGAGAAAGAAAGAATGTGAATACTGAAGCACGAAGGAGCAATTTTATAATATTTTCAAGACTGGGTGCATGAGGATCTTGAACAAGCACCACAGTAGAAGACTTTTCTACTCTCAAATTCTTGTGCATCACAACTTAAGAGAATCAGAGTCAAATGGATAGCCGCATAGTCTCTTCTATTGTAGAATTTTCTTTGCTACATGTTTTCTACCAGGTTTTGTAGAATTGTAAGCTGTAATACTCTGTAATAGTCAAGTGTGCATGAGATTTTTTCTAAAGGCTGCGGACTTTAGATTGCTTTTCTGATTTAATTAGAAGTTATTTGGGCAAATCCCTAATTTAGTTTTCGAAGTATAACCAACCAAACATTTTTCTCCCAAATGTTCTTTTTGTTATAGATTACTCCTCTGAACTTTTCAAATTATTTCAAAAGACTAAAATTGTTAGAAATTTAACCCAAAAAACCCAATTACTTGGGCCTGTTTGGGAAAGAAAATGACTTCTGCACATCACTCAACAACAGCCTCTCTCTCTCATATATGTTTTTGAAATTTACAAATTCCAAACTTGAAATGCAAATCTGTTGGGTTTTTAAATTAATTTGAAAGGTAGATTTTGTTGGGTTTTCAAGTTAATTTAAAGGGCAGATTTGATGGGTTTTCAAATCTTTTAAATTAATACTAGATCTGAGTGACTACTGATCTTAATTATATATTGGGAATAGCATAAGAAGATACACTAGTAAATAAATAAATATATCAGAGTTAGTTGGGAGATTGATATACCTATTCTACACGAGACTAAATATTGTCTATGCAGTGAGTGTCGTAAGTCAATTCTGCATTGCTTGAAGGGCACCTAAAAAGGAAATTATGGTCAGAAAGAATGATAAACTGCTCCTAAAAACCTATACTGATAGAGATTATGCAAAATTATTTATAAACAAAAGGTCTACAACAGGATATTATATCCTCTTTATAGGCAAGCTAATCAATCACCTAGAGAAGTAAGAAGTAACATATAATTGCAACACTAAGTGCAGAATCAGAATTCTAAATAATGGTACAAGAGATATGTAACTATTATGGATAAGAAAAAAATTGAAAGATATTAGAATCAAGTAGGAAAATTCAATGCACCTATATTGCAACAATAAGTTAGCCATAACCATTGCATACAATCTAGTACAACATGATTAGATCAAACATATCGAGGTGGATAGACATTTTATTGGAAAAAAAACTTGGTGATCTAATATGTGTCCTATATATGTCTACCAATTCTCAACTAGTAAATGTGTTGACTAAAGATTTAAACAATTTAGTATTCTAAATTCTTATAGGCACGTTGTAGATAGAGAACATCTACTCCCCAACTTGAAGGGAAATGTTAGAGAAATGGCGAATTAAGTTAAAATGTATTGAGTGTCAATAACATCCTATATAGTGAATTAGGTTAAAGAGCATAAGAGTAAATTATACCATATATAATTAATTGTTTATTTCTTTTTTCTTCCTAGAAAATTATACATCAACCATTCTTGACAAGATGATTAGAGAAAGAAAGAACCTAGATCGCATACAGCAGGCGATGATTTAACACTTCATAGGATCATTATGGTGAGTTTCTGATGCATTCAGGCCATTCCAATAGATCAATATGCAATGACCAAGGTAGTAGAGATGTTAGAAGAAATCTTTTCATTTCTTCAAATTCCACCAAAGTCAGTTATCAGTTATCCAGTACAACATCCAATCATTAATATACAGAAAAGAAACTGGCTTCTTACTGAATGAAAACAAGGATTGATAGATACCTGGCATCAAACATTTTTTCAAGTATCCTATTCTTAACAATAATTTGTTATATTACTTGCTATCTAGTTCCACTACATCAACAAGATGGTTAAAACATTTTAAATAATATGATTGATCTTGTTGTCTGTACTATATGCCAGTTCAGTACGTAGACACTTTTAACATGCTAACGATAGAGATTCATGTTTTCTTCACATGATCTTGCTTGTATAGAAGAGAAAATCCACATCCTCATGGAAATCCTAAAGTCATCAGCATTAAACATCTAGCACATTTCCAATGCTCTTTTGACTTTCACAAGTTGTGTTCTAAGCTAATCTATGAAAGAATGCAAGAGGAAGGTGGTTGTTTGAATAATACAGTTTAATGATTAGCAGCCATTGACAACCATGAGATGGAATTTTCACAATCAGACATGCGCTATTTATCTTGCTATTTCAGGAGCCAAATTTCTGGCCAAAGAAGGAAATTCCCAAATTACAGACATTAAATTTTCAACAACCATTTCACAGACCTTTGTCATCTTAAGGTTAAGAGACCTTCATAACAAAACTCATCAAACATGGAAGCACGTCCCTTACACAAGTCACTTGTTATCCAAAAAAACCTTTGAAATACTAATGATCATCTCGCAAATTATTATCATATGCACCCAGTGAAGGAGGCTGAATGATATAAATCAGCAAGATATATTAGAATTAAACTGTCCACCTTTCTAATAAAAATTGCATAATAATGTTTGATTAACTAACTAGTTATGACTATTTTAAAGCTATGTTCACAATCAAGCCAACTACTCTCTCTCAGGAGATATTTTTAAAGGGAACCACATCCACTTATAGTACCCTATTAGAAATTCCATGAAATCAAGAGGAGGCACCAGACAAAATAAAAGTCTTTGACAGAGATTACTCAGAGAGAAGTGGTGTCATCTAGGGCATCTTTGATCTTTTTCTCTAACTCAGACTCATCGATCCACATGGAACTTTGTCGAGACAGGAGCTTACTCTTCTCGGTCTTCTTATCTTCCCTCACTTTTTCTTTCATCCTCCAATTTTCAAGCTTTTCTATTCTTTCTTTCAACTGCATCCATCAAAAACAAATATCAATAAGCTTATGAAATTTTCTATATATTATGCCACAAAAACATGTGAATATGGTTGAAATAGTCTATTAACTGTATATGAACTTGAAGAAAGTGCTAACTCAATAAATGTTGGATGTGTTGCAAAGAAGAGAAGAAGAGAATTGACGCAAAAAACTAACTTCTTCCCTGAAATTGCGAACAATGATAATAACTAACTTCACACTCATAAATCAATTGTAATTGAAAAAGAAACGTCTAAAAATAAGCATGGAAAAAATCAAAGAGAACATGACTAGAGAGGGAATCATGGATCCATACAAGGGTTCTCCTGAACTCCTCTTCAGCAACCATGCGCTCCTGCGCTCTGACCTTGGCGACCTCAGCCTTCAGACGCTTGCGCTCCTCATTGGCAGCCCTAATGGTCTGCATCCTGGCCTCGTCCTTCCGCTGCTTCTCAAGGCGGAGCAACGCCATCTCATGCACGTACTCCTTGCGCAACTCTTTCACTTGTTTAGCATAGTCTCGCCTCAACTGGGTCAGCCTGCTTTCTGCCTCTTTCGGGTTCTTCGGTGCCTCCCAGCTGCCTATGAAGGAACTGGCCTCCAAGAACTTATGCGTCTGTTGATGGTGGCTATGATGGCTGGTGGCTTTATTTGAAAATGATCGTATGGTTTTCGCCAGCTCCCGCAAAGAGGAGTTGGTGCTGCAACCGGCGGTGGCCATTTTGGTTTCTGCCAAACACAGATGAAGACTAATGAGTGTGATTTGGATTTGTCAAATTTCATCAAACACTTTATGAGCATTTTCTAATAAATTAAAAACCTCCTCTTAATCACCATACTAAATTAACCAAACAACATGAATTAATAAAAACATGATTATCAATGATAACAATTGATGAAGCAATAAGACACAAAACCAATATCGCAAAAACGAACACCAACTTCCAAGACGACAGGCAAAACTGATTATGAACGAGCACGAGAAAAAAAAAAAAAAAAAAACAAACCTTTGAAGGCGAGGAAAAACGAGAGTTGCAGAACTTGAAGACCCGCCGTTTATGGCGGAGAAGGGAGATTCTCTTTCTGTATTGGAAATCCTCTTGCAGAACAGAGAGTTATCGAGGAGAAAAGTGGCTGCCGGGTCGGGACAGTAGAAGGAACCACAAAATAGAACAAATTTACTCTTGAAATTTTCTAAAAAATGTTGGACATTATTATTTACTTTAATTTAGTTGATGTCTACAAATTTCTAGCAAAAATTAACAGTCATTTTGGTTTGTGGGATATAATAAAATTATATAAAATAATTATTTATTAAAAATATAATAAGACAATGATAAATTATAATTATATTATAATAGTTCATTTGAAATGAGAAAGGGACTTTCTTTGTCAACCAATCCCACTTCACCACTGGCTCTGATCTCAGATTTGATCAAAGATTTTGATGTAATTACACATTTAGGTGAAAGTGTATTACATCCTTTTTGTATCATAAAGATGGTGTATTAATTGACTGAACAAAAATGAAATTGAGAGACATGTCCTATATTGGTAATTTGCAGTTCCCTACAGAAAGTCCTGATTACAAGAACTCCTGTCATCAATTGTGATTTTTGTCTCAATTACAATAAAATGCAGATCCATCTTGCTGAGGAGCATAATACCATATTGGAGATTCCATGTTTCAAGTCAAAGCTTGCTCACTGCCTTGTGCATTCCACACTAGCCAGTGAATTCTAGGTGCCGGAACCACCATAGCTGAACTTCCCTTGTTAAGATCGAAGAAAGTCCTAACCGTTCATCAATTTGGCATGACATTAAGCTTGTAATGTTTGACAGTATGCATAAGCAATTGGGCATTTTACCATTTCACTAGAAAGTATCCTCCGAATCGGTAAATCCCATGCGCATATGCTAGTCCTTGATTCAGCGAGGACCCACATCACCATCACGCTCATCACACAGTATGCAACATGTCATGGGCTGAACGTCTCTGAATCAACAGCTACGGCTTTGGAATATGAATCTGCCCTGATTTTTCTCTATCGCCCGTGTAAGTGCATGCTGACTTGTTCCCGAAGAGAAAGCAAATCCCAAATATTGATGCACATATAGGCAAGCTTAATTATGCTTCAAACAAAAATCAACATATTGTGCAGGTGCTCTCAGGTTCATGCCTGTACCCAGAGGAATTGAAATCAGTAAGCTGATAGATAAAAAATTTGAAATACAAACTTCAAGATAAGTTGCAGCAGTGTGCAAGTTAACAAAGTAAAAACTAACCACATGACAGACAGGTCAGGAAACTCTTCCTGGGTGCATGTGTACTATTTGCCACTAATTAACGGGAAGGGCGCATCTTTTCGCTTCTTGTTCATGAATCTTCCAGATTATCTTTCATCCTTCCCTTCAGGTTGGCCTGCAAAGATTTGCATGTGAGCTTGAGGAGAGCTAACAATAAACAGATATTAGAGTTTTTACCTAGTAATTTAGAAAGTTCATATAAAAATACAACAGGAGAAATTAAGGAGCATATGCTTTCAGAGTACCAATTTGAGCTTCAAATCTGATATTGCACGCTGCTTCTGATATGCAAAAAACTTCAATGACTGATGAACACCCCGAAGTGAAAGGGAAGAAGAAGCCAAGAGAAAGAAACAAAGGAATCAGAAACACAGACATTGATAACTAAAAATTTTCCAAGAAATCAAGTGCTTTACTTACTCCAAATCTCTGCATTTCAAGAGATCTTTTCAACGCTTCTCTTTTGGTATGAAGATTCTCAGTGATCAACTTCGAAGGCCGTCCATAATTTTTTCCACGATAAATAATAATAGCATGACCTTCTTTCAGCTTGTCTATTGAAACCAGAATTCCACCACTCTCTGCCTCAAGCAGTTGTGCAGTAAAAAGAATCTGTGAGAACGCTCGCTGCATTGAAATCACCTTCACAACTTCCCTATGCTTCCAGTGCTGATGCACGCCTTCTATTACACCATCAAAGACCCCACGCCTGCCTGAGGCCAATTTGAAAAGAAATGCATGAGTAGACAGAAAGGAAACTAGAAGACAGTGGCATTAAGTCCGTAAAAGCAGTTGGGATTATTTGTTGTAATTAGACAACCAAATAACTTATATAGGATAACATGAGACTATAAGCACATAAGATAATACATGGATTGCATGGCAGGAGACAATAAGTACATGAGACAGTACATGGATAACATGGCCGAGGACAATAAGTTAGTTGTCAAGGCTTGAACGATGTCATTTATGGTAGTTGAAATTTATGCATCAGAGTTTCTTCTTCTGCAAGATGGCGTTGGGAATATGGAACATACCCGGCACCATATCCATTTTTCAGCTTTCCTGTGTGCCTACAGTAGCCTGTAATGGGTGGTTATTCTGTTTTGTCCTTTCCTTTGTAGCTAGTATTTAACCTAGTAGGATTTAAAGATTTGCTATGCTGAAATCTACATTAAACAAGAAGTTTATCCAATTATCCTACATTTTCTCATTATTGCTTAGCTACTATATTCTTCTTCTTACTCTCCCGCTGAACGTCACTCTTTCTCATTCTACCATTCTCCTTCACATTCCTTCCCACCTAAGTCAGGGCTCAAGAGTGAATGAGTTAAGAACCCAACAATCTGGTAGCATAGCAGACCGAAAACCGCAACAAATTAACTTCCACCTGTAAGCTGGTGAAAGCATGGGTAAGACTGCCACTTTTCCTATCCCTCTGCACGTCCCTCTTTCTCATTCCACACATTCTCCTTTACATTCCATTCCAACTAAGTTAGGGGCTCAAGAGTGAATGAGTCAAGAATCCGATATTGGTCCAAAAAAAATAATAGTTTTTATGTCACAGGTCTGACTTCGCATAGGACTACGCCAAGGATGGGCCAAGCCAGTTGTTTCTGGCTCGAGTTGTCCCTCAAGATGGACTAAGACAAGCCATGCCCATGCCCAAGACCTCAGCCAAGTCATGGTAGGGCCAAGACAACCCACCAATTTGAGTTGTGTTGAGGATTGCGCTGATGTACAACAAACTAGAGTTACTTTTCATATTTTATAATTAAAAATATCCTAGATACCATACCTAAAGTTCCCAGTTATAATGCAAAGATTTGATTGAATAACACAATCAGATATTAAGAAATCCTCAAACCATTTTATTAAATAATTGAATGATAATTTTAAAGAAGATTAGAAAAACTAAGAAATACTAATACTAAATAGAACTATTGCTCTTAACAAAAGTAGAAAAACAACACAAGTAAACTGAAAAACATAAAAAAAAGCTTGAATAATATTTTTCTTGAAATACAACTTAAATAATATTATTCAAGGTCCATTTAATAGTGCAGTCATATACTTAGATGGTCTTGGATCGTAAGCAGTGAAAATAAAAATTACTAAAGACAACTCACAAAAAAAAAGGTTTTATAATGAAAACCAAAGTAAGCTTTATCTTACCCAGAACTAAGCTACTATTCATCTTCAGTCCTATTTCCCGTAAGCATTCCCTCTCCTCCTCTGTCAGTGTTTCTTGGTCTGCATCCCTCTCGGAAGGTTCCCAAGCAGAATTCAACTTACTTAACTCTTTCTCTGATTTCTCCATCTTGATTGTAAGCTGCAAAATCCCATAGGATCATGCTCACAAACAGCAGTATGAAATAAAATTACAATAGGTAAGCTTACAATAAAGACTTTTCATACTCACAATGAAAAGTTTTTGTTCTTCTTTCCTCAGTTCCCTCTCTAATTTTTCTTTTTCAGCTGCTAACTGTTGTTCAAATTCCACATTTCCTTTTCCCAGGTCCCCAAACTTGGTTTGCATATCTTGAAATTCTGACAAAGTTCCAGCATTGCTAGTACTTACCACTGGCTCATCAGCAACCTCAAGAGCTTCCACTGCATTTAGTCGAGCACCTTCTTCAAAAAGTTGGCGTCCTCCAAGTGCCCTTTCTCTCTCCAATACCAAATCTGCAACTCCACAAAGGTAGAAAGTCTTGCCTCTGAACAATATAACAAAACTTGTTGCGTAGTATCAGAACTCCTCCTGTGAGTTCTGCATTAACTAACATCAATACCAGTAATTTATTAGGAGAGATTCCATATGCATGGCAAGTGTATACACCCACGATAAGCACATAGATAAGCATGCCCAGACTTTGTGGCAGGTAATGAATCCATGGAAATCAGCGAACCACACTTTAAGTATAATCCTCAAAGATTTAGCACAAGTAAATTGGCTGATATCAGTATGCTGTCACAGCTGCTAGCCTACGGAATAAAAATGCCCTTGATGCTGAAATTATTATATATATCAGTTAATAACAGTAGAGTCATCAGATAACTTTTTTGCATGCAACATTTACTGGTAGCAGCACATGAAAGAAATCCAATGATTGAACACATATGAAGTTTGCAAATAGAATGAACTAGGTCAATGCTGAGCCTTTAGGTATGCATACAAACCTGCAGATCATGGATATGCACACCAAGAGCTTAAGATAACTTGCCTTTAGCTCGTTTGCCATTTCCTCATTGTTGGTATTTGGAATGCCCCACTTTATAGCAATCTTTGCAATTAGACTTTTTTCCCATAATTTCAATATAGCAGCAGCTAAACCTTGAAGTCTTCTGTTCCTCCCTTTAGAAAATACAGAAAAAAATATTGAGTTGAAGACTTGAAATGCAATTTGAATGCAGAAAAGCAAAAGCCACTCCAGTTTTTCTTCCTTTTGTAAATGAAAATTAATACTGAAGAAAAGATAAGTAAATGAAGAAGTATACGAGGACAACAAAAAGGAGAGTCGGAGAGGAAAAGCAATCTAGAAAATCTAGATAGCAGGTATGAAGCAGAGATGATGATCCACCCAATAATATATACAGCTAAACCCTCTTAATACTTCAGAAATTTTCACTCACTTAGATTTTAAAATTCTTAACTCTGTTTAGATATTTCTGGCTATCATCATTTATGCTTGTTCAACTCAAATGACTGAGCACACAATTGTTCTTTAAAATGTGACTGAAGCTTGCCTTTTTTGTGATGCAGCAGATTTTCTTTCCATGCTGTTCATTCTACTCTATTTTTCCACATACCATCTTATAAATACACAAATCAGCATATAAACATATTAAGTAAGTTGTAGTTTCCAGAAACCAGACTGAAATAGAAGCTTATAGGAAGCAAGGCAATACCAAGTACAAAATGAAAAGGTAAAGGATGAGCTAGCTTTCTCAAGTACGTCAGTTCATAATCTGTCAGCTTTGCCCTAGTACGTGGCAGGCAACGCCTTAATGGAGGTGCAAATCCAGGAACCACTTCCGGAAGCAAGTCTGCATCTACTGGCAATGGCTTTCGCATCCACCAGTCAATATAACGAGGTCCCAACCCCTCCAATAATCTATCAGTTTCCCTTTCATAGAGTGAGCCATTAACTGGCTGGTTAGTCTCATTTTCTCCAGTGAAGTCCACAGATGGCATAGAGTCATCATTCACATCCTCTGTGGAAATAATTTCATCAAAGGTAGTTGGATAGAAATTCCCTTGAGAAAATTTTAATTTACTACTCGGAGAAAAATGACTGAGTTTCAATGAGGAACCACCAGGAAAACATGAGTGCCTGTCCTTGGACGTTTTTGAGGTCAACTGATAGTTGCTTCCTCTGTAAATAACAAGAGCATCTTTCCTGCTCCAGACAACCAAGCCTCCAGTCTTCATCTACTAATGAGAAAAAAAAAATTAGGCACGAAACATCAGAAATTCCGTAAAAATAAGGCTAAAAAATGCAGAGACAAAATGCAGAGATAAACACATGTAAATGAAGGAAAAAACTAATGATCCATGTAACAACAAAGCAATAATCCATGTAAGAACTTTAAGCAAGTAGAATTGCTATTAGCAGTAGTAGAAGAAATTCTTGGTCCAAGCAATAACAAAAATCAAAAGAACTGAAATCATAATAGACCCATGCACCTAAAGTATACTTCATTGTTAAGTTACAAACACATATAATACAAGCACTGCATTCGGTTCAGCTCTGATTCAATTTCTAGTCGATTGGTTCTTCTAATTCTCACATTAGTCTTAACTTGCATGATTAGAATATATTTGTTATATTTGAATTACCGTCACCTCCTTTTTTAATTTCTTGAAAGAGGAAATCCCGGCTTAAAAGTTAAAAATTAAATTTCTACCATCAAAAGATTTATAGTGGTAACGTTGACACAATGAAATTATATTATAATTAGGTATACTAAAGATTAATAACAAAATTAGAACAAACGATCTGGAATTGAATGGTTATTAAACCAAATGCAGCCAAAGCTCTTTCTTGGTCTTCCTGCCCTGTTATACTAGCATTTTGCTGCAATAAAAAAACAACTTTTGCCTATATTTCCAGAAGTTATATGTACGTTCAAGAATAATAACTGCAGGAAAATAAAAAGAGCTACTAAAAAAACTCTAAGCAGATTTCTTGTCTGGGAATTCAATTAAAAGATCAACTTAACCAGAAAAAAAAAAAAAAAATTATAAGCAGATTTGTTGTCGGCTAATCAACTAAAAGATCAAGCTAACCAGCCAAACCTCGATAATTTCTCGAGCTCTATCCATATTTCGACATAAAGGAAGATCAAATTTCACCATAGCTAGCTCATTCCTCCTCCATATCAACATAATCTCATCAACAACACCTTGAGTCACCCCCGCTTTCTTCACCTTCACCCACTTCCTCAGTCTCGCAGCATCATCTCTCAATCTCTCAAGCAAATCTTTATCAAGAACCAACTCAGCAGCAGTCACCACTTTCTCCTTCTTCAGCCTCCTAAACACCACCCTGTCATCCTCCCTAGACCATGGCATTCTACCGCCAAAATCGTCCTTCTCATCAGCACCCTCAATCTGCCTCAAACAATCGCCAAATTCAAATTCCTCGCGATTCCCTTCCTCGGTCTCCTCGACATCTCGACTTTCTTTAAGTTTCTCGACGTTTTGAATTATTTTCTTCATTGCCTTCTTGCCTCTGACGCCGCTCTCTTTACCAGTCAAAGCCCGGTCAGATTTTTCTTGGTCTTTAACGGTGCTTGAACGATTCTTGTCCCCCGATTTTCTGAGGTGTAGTACTTCATTGGGTTGGAGAAGAAGAGGACCCTTCATCCACGGGGCAGTCGGCATCTTGATGGCTCCATCGGGGCGGGAAATGGGGTCCGCTGAGACGAGGTGTTTGTTGAGATTGAAGGATGAAGTTTCTTCTGGGTTTCTTGTGGGGTTTTGGTCTCTGTTCATGGAGAGAGTAATCAGACAGGAAGAAGATTGGAAGGAGGTTGAAGAAGGGTAAGGAGAGAGGAAGAGAGAAGCAAGCATGAGTGGCAATTGAGAGCAAGAAGATTCAACTGAGTTACTCTAATTCAGATGGTTACCACCCTGACTTCTGATGCAGTATCAGGAAGGAAAAGATAAGACGGGCACTCTCTGGTTTTTGTGGGGTATTTCATGGATTTGCAAAATACATCCACAGAGATTTAAAATGAATAAATTAATATGAACTTCATATAATTTCTAATAATGCTTTGAAATCCTTAACAGAAATAGAAAATGGTAATCGACACAAAAAAATTGATTTAAGAGTTATAAAATTCTCTTACCTGTAAAACTATGGCTGAAAATAATTTATAATTCATGAATTAAAATAATAATTTACTCAATAAAATCATATTCTTCATCTAAAGTTATAATCCATACAACAAATGATTACATAATACCATTTTGCTTGAAATAAAACTTGACAGTAAGTTAGTTTATGAAAATATATTGTAATAAATTAGATGGAATCAGTATAATAAGATCCAAAAAGAACCGTCCAACCAGAATATATGCAGCAGCCTTATAGATTAACAGAGATTTGGACTCCACAGTGTCCCACAATGTATAATGAGTTCATAGAAACTTAAGAGGAGATGAAAAGGCACCTTTTTTTACAATCAAAAAGTAAAAATTTTTCTGATCATGGATGATAGTAATTTTTCTGATCATGGATGATAGAAAAACAAACAATCCGACAAGATTTACATGCTAACATTCAAAGGTCCAACTGAAAATGGAAGCCTATCCACCAAATCATTGTCAAGGCAGGTGCAAGTGCATCACTTCGTCTTCCCACATGCATCATCCAGAGGATCGCGAAGGGTTCCGAGCATCCAATCCATCCATATAGTGTAATGGCCATAATTGTGCCGGTATGTTGTGTGATGAATTGTATGGTAGCCGGCACCCATTACAGGCCACAGGTTGGCATGGATGCAATCATGAATGTTTGCTGTCCATATGGCCTCAATAAACAAGAGTGCTAGATGTGTGGTAAAATGAATCGGCACAATGAAGAGAGCAAATACATGCGGGACTGCCTGTAAAATCCCATCCAGCGGATGAAATGCCAAACCTAACAGAAATACACATTTTTAATTATCAATTCATCTGGTAAGGCAATCACAATAGAAATTCATAAATGGAAATTCCTATAAAATTGAAAAGAAATACATTGATGACTACATCTATGTCCTTTCTCAAGCACAGTACTGTTTACAGACCAAGTACACAACCAATGGAAAAAAAATGAAGCATCCCAAGGATGCCATCAGAGAGAGAAAAAGAGGTAATTGACTGGCCTTCCCTATCAAAACCAGACGGATCAAAATCTAATCTGAATTACAAGGGTGATCTTGGATCCAAATTCAATAATATAAATAAATATATATTAATGAAAATGAAAGTTTAAACTCCCTACTTGTGACTGCTATGTTCTAGGAAAATCTACATGTATGGTTTGTAAGCAATTGGAGATCACTGATACATATGCTTATTTAAGGTCTATTACAAAATCAAATGAAGCCAACGATCGATAGAACCTCATCCATTGTTACACACTTTTATTGTCTAAAACTGATTCAAACAAGAGATAAACATCTGATATCATAGCTAGCAAGAGTTATTTTTTTCATTAAAACCAGCCAATGAAGCATATATCTCAAATGATGCCTCAAATTAACAGCAAAAGAGTCTGCGGAAAATAGCGAAAGTAACAAAAGTACTTAAGCCCACACCATGTCTGTATCCCATAACATAATATTTTCTTCAACAACGTGTTTAGCAAAAAGGTAAAGTTCCTACTTACTTGGCTTTGACGAGGAACAGCTTTTCCATTCTAAGATTAAGTTGGAACCAAATACAAACCTAAGTTCGCTTAACCTTACTATTTGATTAGCATTACTTGGATCACTCCTTGAACATGAATACTTATCCTTTGACCATACGTTGCATTTGATCCAAACCTATTTTATTCTTATTCACTTTCTAAAATTCAATTATTTGATATATAAAAATTAGTCATGATTTATATAGTCAATGTATAATCAAATCAACCTCATTTGCATCTTCAGTTCCACAATAATAGATTTGTACTAACTCTTGCTAAGAAATGTATCATAAAACCACCAACCTTGAATTGCATAGAATTAATTTAGAACTAGTATGTTAATTTCATTCAAATTTCTGTCTCATTTGTGTTATATTCTCATTACTATATTATGAAATTGAAATTTGAACCAAACTCAATGATGAAGTATAGCTTCTCAAAGAAATACAGGCACCATAAGAATAACTTTCATGCACAAGTCATCTTGTTAACAAATTCCACGAAATTTTTAACCAGATTGCCAAGATAAGGAAACCGAGGTGTGTATAATCAGAACTTACCAGCAAATGGGGAGAGAGTGTTCTGCTTGTTATAGATGTGATGGGTTGCATGAAGATATTTGTACAAAGGTTTAATGTCATGCAGCTCTCTGTGCATCCAGTAGATCCCAAACTCAACAAGTACAAGATAAATAGATAAATACACCAGGTATGCAAGCCAACCGACTTCACTTATTCTAGAGTAACATCTCGTCCAGCCATTTTCAATCATGTATTCTGAAACAGATGGAAGAGCACAGTACCATGGCATAGCCTTCATAGCAACATATATTTGCAGGAGCATAGCTCTTGTTGAAGGTATAGCATCTGCAGCAAGAAAAATCAGTAATCAGAAAATGCTCATGGTCCAGGCCCAGGTATATGGTGAATCTATGGTGCCTTTGAGGCCCCAGAAATCCACCTCCAATATTTAATGTTGTGTAGTTATCTGGTAACATGATTTAGTAATTTACTAATATTGCCTAGCAACACTTGATATGTGTATAGCGATTTTGTCAAATATTACACAATTTTATAGATTACTACATAAGGGATTGACTAATATATTAATTTTTTATCACATGGGTTGCACCCCCTTGGTGCCATAGCTTTTTTATATGGTTATACTTTTTATTTCAAAAAATATATTAATTTTTTATTAAAAATAATTATTAGATAGCAGGGGAAAATATCCTCCTAAGCCAATAAAAAGAAGAAAAAGGAAAAAACCACATAAAAATCAAAACATCCCATCCTCCCTCCGCAAATTAGCCAAAACAGCCATGAGCTTTGGTCCACAAAGATGTAAAGAAAATCAATATGTCTCATGGGAAAGATAGAGAGAAGTAACAATTCTTGAAAAGTCTAGCATTTTTTTCCAACCACAACACCCAAGAACCAGCAAAGACAGCTCCTCCAGTCCACCCTACCTACATTCTTCACTTGGAGATATTTAATTACTATACTAAAGTAAACATTAGTAGTAGTTATTTAGGAGTTAGGATATAGTGCCTTGGAGACACAATTGACACACTAATGTAAATGACATTCATCAAGATATGATGTAATACTATGCACTGTCATCACACCCAGTCAGCTCCTTTGTCGAAATATACAGAAGTCCATGAAGAAAGCTACGGAGAAAGGAAAAATAGAAGATGCACCAGCATTTTGCTTTAATTTCTGAATCAATCTTGTAAAGAAATTCAATTTTGTCCTTTGCCTGATTATTGTCAATTAGAAATTTACTTAAAAAACTAAATGTATTGAAATCTTCTTAATTTTTCCCATTGTCTTAATATGGAGCCTATACTAAAAGATAAAGATCATATTAGACTTGAAAGTATCTAGGAATTGGAAATATACATACATAAAAATTCCAGTAGACAGGGACAAAGGTTATTGTCATACCTCAATTTTATCTAACCTAGTAATAATAATAATAATAATAATAATAATAATAATAATAATAATAATAATAGAAATTTAGTAGTGTAGTAATTGGAAAATTAACAAAATCGAGATTACCATGGTTGTAGGATTGTTATCATTAGTATTATTATCTTTCATTCTACTTTCTAATTTTAATTTTAATTTATTTTTACCTTTATTTGTATTTTAAATTTGAGAAAAACATCATTATGAACATGTCAAGATGTGTAAAAGGATCTGAATTCTGTTTTATTGAAATCCTCATGTATGAGAATGAATGACAATTTCACAAGACCACTATCATTTGAGCTTAAGTTGATTGTTGCGTGATTCTGGTATCATGAATGTATGGAACAATTATAGCTTAATTTAATTTTATAGAGTGAAGTATGTTTAGGTTAAACGGAAAACAAAGGAGGAAAGACTGATAATCATAGTAGAATAACCATGAGCTAGATGTGGTGTTTTATGGTTTAGGCAGCTGCTTTGAATTGTAAAAGGACCTCCCCTGCAATTTTTTTTATATTCTGATTTTCTCTTTGATGCTTCAGAGTTCATTTCAGAATTTCAAATCCATCATGCCTATTTGAAACTTATTTCCAAGTCCTGGTTATACCACCTAAGGATCTTCTGAATGTATGTTAGACTCGCAAATGTCTGACTGTTCTTTAAACTGTTTGTGTTTGATGAATAAGCATTAAAGTTGTTTTAGCCTTTATCTTGTTTTTCAAATACAGTTATACTTCCTCCATAGGTATTTTAAATTTGGTTCCAAACCTTGATATCTTTCCGGTTTTATTTCTTTCTTCGAGCATGGTTGTGATCCTATTTAGAGTGTATTAAGTTCTTTAGACGCAAAGCTATGTTCTCTCTTTGAAGTATGAACGTTTTGAATCTTTCTTCTAATCTTTTTAGGGCTCTAAATTGACTTTGGTTTCATAAATCAGATCTGACCTTTCAATTTTTTTGCTATCCATTTCTCTTGATTTTTCACATGGGATACAACGAATCTTTGGGTCTCTTTTCATATTTCTGCTTTAATCTTCTTATCTAGATGCTGTTTAGTGTTGCTTAAACCAGAAAATTGATGTGCTACTTGCCGTTTGGGGAAGATGGAAGAAATAAGAAAACAGAGACTGTTTTAGGCTTCTATTGTTAATGACTGTTTTGTCGTTCTTTAAACAGAAAATTGGTAATTTACTGGCCATTTTAAGGGAAACAAAAAAATGACTAAGAAAGCCAGGACTGTTTTGGGCATTTAAGAGTGCTGGTAGGTAAAAATACTTAAAGGCTTAAATAAGGCTTAATATGTAACATAGCTTTCAATAAATCTCTTTTTTTCTAATAGTACTATTTTAGGTGTGGTTTCCTATTCTTCAAATTTAGATGTTTCTTTAGTTTTAGTTTATTTATTTTATTTCATTTATAAATGTTTTCTTAGCCATTTCTAAAGCCTATGCACTAGATCGGTGCCTTACCCATTCCCAACTAGTTCTGTTTTCTGGGCTTGGTTTCTCTTTATTAGACTGGTACAAGTTTTGGCTGCCTAATCCTACCTTAAATGGATTACTGATGACTCCTTTTGCATTCTGTGCAAATGATTATTTTTGCGGAATTTTGCCCCCACGTCATGATTGTGACAGCCATGCGTTCTCTCCTCTTCCTTTTTTTCCCCCTGAGCAACAACAAGCCTAATCGGAACAACCACACACTCCTACTCTTAGGAAGTAGTAAAATACCCAAAGATTCATGCAAACAAGCAAGTGCTAAGGTCATATCCCTGTAACTGCCTTTATCAGATAAAAGAAACCTATATGTGGGGGGCAAACTGCTACTTTCAAATATCCATGGATCATCTATAAACAAGCAGCTTCTAAAGTTCAGCAGAAAAAGAATTTTGAAGCAAGCACATAGCCCCTTAACGAGTAAAAATCTTTAATACATTTACCAGAGAAAAAGCAAAAAGATGGAACAAGATGCAGAAATTCCTAGAAATAGAAACAGTTATCATATATTTGGAACAACTAAACACGACTAAGAGGTATCCATTGAAGTGTTTCTAATTCATTTGAAAACATATAGTTCATTCAAACACAAAATGAAAATTCAACTCCAAATGTATTCTGAGTGAAATTTAGACAATACATTTCAAATTCTGTAAATTGTGATGGAAATGAAACGTATTATTCCAGTTTTATTTGAAATCCAAATTGATTTCTATTTAAGATGCATTAATTCAATTCTATTCAGAATTCATTTGAAGTAGAAGTTTCATCCTCTGGTGGTTTAACTAAGTAAAGATTTTCATATACTGTTTGAAAAATATTGTTTCAAGCAAGCCTTAAATAACAAAAAAAAAACATTGTGGTGGTTAACCATCCAAATCAAACTACTTCACAATTTTAACTTCTTTTCTTTTTTCTAAATTTAAATCCAAAGAGTTGGATCTTGGCAAACTTTTGTACTCAAGATCCTAAAAGGAATAAGAAAAGGACAAAGTCCATTTACACCTCTGATCTTTGGCCTATCTTGGGCACTGAAAATAACAGATGAATTTATTTCTGCCTTCCATTTTGTTAAAACTTTCCAGATACAAGTCTCCACTCATCTAAGACAACTGATTACATTAGACCATATTACAACGCAAATTTTCCTGCATTTAGTTAAATGCAAAAGCCAAATTTGAAATTTCAAGATTCTCTTTCTGTTTCTCTCACATTTCGACTTCAGCCATACAAAAACAAAAAAATCAAACGAAACAGAAGTCCACTTAAGCCAAACAAGAGAGGTGAAATATCATTTATTTAAAATCCAAAGAAGTCTATAAATAAAAAATGAAATGTAGAATTCATTAGCAAATAGCAAAATAAGGGAAGAAAACTTCTGGGTCATGAATTCCTAAGCCATCAGAGTTAACAAATGATATCCACAAATTGAAGACTGAAAATTTGACAAAAGAAGAATTGAATTTTGGTAGGAAAACACATATGATGCTTAAAATGCAGAGGTAAAAAAATTAAAAAAGGAATCAAATGTTACTAAATCAACAATAAATTAATAGAGGTTTCCCAAGGAGAAAAATAAAAATCAGAACTTCAAAAGAGAGGAATCTAACATGAAATAAAACGAATCCATAAAGAAACCACATTCAAAAGCTATACCCAAAAAAAAAAAAAAAACAGAACGTCATCTCGTCCAGTCATTTACTGAAATCTGATCCAAATACTGTTAACAGCAAATCCAACATCAAATTGCGTTAAGAATCAGATTAAGCCAAACACACGTGAAACACTCATGAACAAGTTTAGAAGTACAGACTCAGATTGGAGATCAAACCCTCTCATGACAAACATGCAATTCCAAAATAAGTCAAACAGTCGGGAAGATAATCATGTAAGAGTAAAAGAAAAGAACGATAACAACAAGAGAATGATCAAATCCCACACATTAAACAGAAACGTTCCTAAATCAGCAACGAATATCGGAAAACGAAAAATAGAGAATAGACGCAGGCAATCATCAAAGACCCTCCGATTCAAACTTAATATCAAACCGAAAACTCCTATCACATCAAACTCAAAACTCCACCACAAAGGAGACCAGATTCCAAAACGACCAAAAAAAAAAATTAAGAAACGTTGACATAGGCGGATTCGAGTATTACCTTTAGGGAGATAAACGTTGCGCTTCAAGTAATAGATGTAGAAGCACCATAGAAAACCAGAGACGAAGTAGAGAAGAGTGCCAGCGAGATAGTTTCGGAGCCATGTCTGGAAAAAGTGCGGCAATGGTTCCCACAGTCGCGACGGCAGGAGCCAACCGAGCACAATGCGGTTGTACAAAGACGTCTCCTCCACAAAAAGCTGCAGATAATCTGCCGCCTCCATTGGCCCCTCAGATTCCTCGTATCACCAGTATAGAGAAACACCTCAACTGGATGCTCCACCACAGATTAACAAAAACAAAAAAACACAAGAAGAAGACGCAGCAGTAAATAAAAAGGGCGAGAGAAGCAGCGCGGCGGTGCGCCGGCGGTCTATGGAGGCGTTGATGACGTGTGCAAGGCGTCTCTTTCTTGTAGATCTCGTTTATTTTAATTATATACGAAAACCAGCGTGGACTTGTGAAATAAAGAATCTGTACGCATATCATTCACGGTGATACTTGGCTATCATGTGTCCGCATGGGCCCACCACCCGACTTGAATAAATTATTTTTTAAAAAAATATATATATATATATATGTAAATTCTTCCTTAAATATTAATTATTTGGTACATAATTAAATTAAATTTATTTGTACCTTTAATTTTGTAATCACATATTACATTCTTATTAATAAAAAATAAAATTAAAAAAATTCATATAACCAATTGGGTCGGATTAAATTACAAAATATAAATATTTATATAAATCGTACATTTTGTTATCAGTTTGTAAAAAATCGTTAAATATAAATATATTAGATATTGTGTGACTCGATATATTTTTTTACTAACGTATATAAAAAAAAAATTCATTCTAAACGAATAAGATAAGATATTAAGGATTAAATTAAATATTATTTTTATTTTAAAAAAATAGTGTAATAATATTTTTTTTTATGTAATTATACAAAAAGATAGTGTGAAAATTACAACAAAAATAATAAATTTAAAAGACATGAAAATAATGCTAAATAAGGGGATATTATATATATATATATATATATTATTTTTTTTATAGTAGATAACTCGAAATTTTGACAAACAAGATAATATAATTAATAGCTTCAATCTTATTTTATTTATAAATGTTTATATAGTGTATGTAACACTCGGAAAATTGGGAAATTTTCATTCAATAAAGCTTAATCAAATAGATACGTACACGACAACATGAATAAGATTATTAGCCGTCATACACTCGAGATAATTTGGTTGGCAAATAAACTATATTACCACGTCTTTCATTCATAGTAATAACGAGTATAACGACAATGGCACGTCAGTAGTGATTGACAGTAATTCAATAAATTTTAGTAACTAATTTATAGTACGCTATAATTAATACACGAAATGAAAATTAAGATATAGAACAAATTGATTTTTTGAAGTTCAACATGCACTTATTAAATATCTAATATATGATGAAGGACTTTTTAAACAACAGTAATATATTTCTATACACAAAAAAAAAAAAAAATGTATAAGAATACATTTTTGTCGATCAATCTCGATGAGATAATCCGTTGTAATGGGCTATGGGGTAGGTCAGCATGACTGAATTTCATATATTTATATAGTCTCTTAAAATTTATATCTATATATACAATCTCAATGCAAAAGATGACTTGTAACATAAAATTGAATGGAGGAGGTCGTATAAATTCTCAACATATACGTAATTGCAAAAAGCCTAATATCCACATATATCACATATATGTCCTCCAACGGTTACCGACAAACCTTTGCGTTACAGGTGGGTGACAAAGAAATCTAAATCCCGTACTTCAAATATCACAGTGTTTCTGTGTTTTTTAAATATTAAATTATTTTATAAATATAATAAATTTATAAATTCACGGTCACAATGTCTTGGAGTCATCATTGGTGGTGACATAATTTGAAACTCCCCCCTGTCACATTAATATTACCCCTCACGTACGGACAGTTCAGGGCCCGTTTGGTTATTTATAATTATATATACATAATAAAAAAAACATCTTTTGGTGTGGGGTCCTGCTGTCTATGAAATCAAACGTACACACACACACACACACATATATATATATATGTATATAGATATGATGTATGTGTGTACATATATATATATATATATGATGTATACTTTGAGAAACTAATTATTAAATTGTCACTTAGCTTTAAATAAATATTTTGAAATTTATTATAAAATAATAAACATCATAATGACTAATATTTTTTATATATGAAAAGTAAATCATAATTTATACATTCAATGTATATATATATATATATATGCTAACTAATAATTATATTATATTAAAAAAGATAGGTTTATTTAATTTAAATTTTTAACGTCAATATCTATATATTTTTAATGTAAATTATGGTTGTTACATGATTAAATCAATTTCGTGCACATTTTTTAATTTTATGATTATAAATTATAGAAATATATATCTAATTTAAATTAAAAATAAGATTAATTTGGGATAAATATTATTCTTTTGAAAAAAATTATATTTTATTTATATTAAAATTTAACAACATGTAGAGTACCGGTATATATATATATATATATATATTATATTGTATAATATTTATTTGCTTCCATAAAATAATTTGATTTCATATTTATTTGTGTGGATGTTTTGGGAAGTGACTACTGGTAGTCCCCATTTCTGAATTTGCTGTTCAAATTATAGAGATGTGTAAATATATGTCTGTCTATATATATATATATATATAACAAATAAATTATTATAACCATCTCTGTATATTATATGTTAGGGTTATATTTTTTTAAATTGTATTTTTAAAGGGTTATAATTCTCACATGATTCTATCTATTTAAATTTAATTATCTTAAAATTCAACACGTTTATCACGAAGGGAAATCGTTGTATCGAATTTTTTGCTAACGAAGTTTTTTCCTTTTCGCTCGGGTTTTACTATTTATAACGACGTCGACTAAGTTTCTGAATATCTTTTGAGTTAATTTTATTGAAATTTTCTGTCTTCGAACTTGATTGTATGTTCTTATTCTAACTATTTAAATTTAGCTGGTAAAAGATTGTTCTCTTAAAATTCTAATAAGTTTATCACGAGGAGAATCGTTGTATCGAATTTCTTGCCAACGAGGCTTTTTTCTCTCTGCTCGGGTTTTACTAACTATAACGAACGTCGACTAAGCTTTGAGTATTTTTTGAGATAATTTTATTAAAATTTTCTGTCTTAGAACTTGTATTCTTTAGTTATGTTTTTTTTTTTTTTTCATTGTATTCAAAAAAAAAAAATTACAATAAAATTTACCAGCAGTCTAAAAAACCAATTTATTTTGATTCCAAAATAAACCAAATAATTTAATTTTGTTCAATATATGTATATGTATATGTATATGTATATATATGTAAATATACATGCATACAAAAATCTCATGGATCAAAACCGATAACCAAAGGAGCCACCCTTAACAAGGGTTCTAATGAATTAGGTAAAAATTTTCTAGCAAACAAGAAACAAATTGATGAAGAAACCCCATTATAATCACAGGTAGACCCATGTCGGATCTGATTCAAAAACTCATCGGTAATATCACCCCATCCAAATGTTCTAGGATGAGAACCTCCTCTGGACCAATCAACCCACGCAAGGCTCCTATTTGAATTCATTTCCGGCCACTTCATACTCACCATTGTTGGAATATAGTGTTCATCTATGTAGCAAGGTGGCTGGCAATGCTCGGAAAAGATCGAGTAGAATTTGGTGTCAGAGACAATTTCTAGTGCTAGCTCGCGTTTTACTTGGAACCACTGTGACCCTTTTCGCCAGTTGGTGATGTTTATTTGAGGTGACATTTTGGGATTGTACCGGCCTCGGCCGGGTTTTCGTGGGTCGTCAAATGAGCCTACGAAGCTCAAGTTGGAGCTCATGAGGTAGTTGTAGATGGTGGTGAAGTTGAATAATGGAATGCAGGATTCGGAGAGGAGGACGAATCTTTGGTTGGAGAAATCTAAGAGGGCATTTGCCAGCAGACGTCGCTCGGCATCAACCATTGATGAGGTTCCCCAGTGCACAGGCTGCATTATGTGCTCCGAGAGAGAAATTAAATGGAATAAATGAGCGAAACGAAGATGAAGATTAATAGATGGTTATAGCTGCCTATATATATGTCATGTATTTTGTGTACTTGCATTCCAGTTTGATTAAATAGAAGTTTGATGTTCTTTGTCAATATATCCTTTCAAGTAAATAATTTGCATCGATGATAATTTTTGATCTTCATTTTAGACCCAATAGTTATATGGATTTGAAGAAGGAGATTACCTGGCTAGGGATTCCTCTGTTGTAGAATACAGAAGTTTCAGGCAGGGTTTCTTGGTAAGAGGGATGTGAGTGAATGTAAATGGAGTAAAAACCTTGATGGCCTTCAAAGAGTTTCTCCCACAGAGGGGCCAAGGGAAGTGGACCCTTTGTCAAGAACATGAAAGCTACTTTACCCACGTAAGTATTAACCTCGTCATGATGATTATGATCAGAAGAAGAGAATTCTTGAATGCTTATTCTCGGCACCATTGATGCTCTCAAGAACAACTGTTGGTCACTCATGTTGTGCATGAGGGAATTGTGTTCTTTCCATGAAACACTAGTGTGATTTGATGTTTCGTTTCTCGAAAACGACAGAACTTGTAATGCTGGATTGGAAATCAATGAAGGAGGAGGAGGAAGTTTTGGAGATGATAATGGTGGTGGAGTGAGGTGGAAGGAGTTTTTCAGAGTTGAAAAGAAGGGTCTGAAGCAGAAACAAGTTATGATTCCTACTGATAAACCAATGAGAAAGAAAAGCAGATGGAAGAAATTTCTGAAGTGTAGGAACCAATTGAAGGTCTTGGAAATGTATTGAGTTTGGAGCTTCTCAGTTACCATGTTATTGTTCAGAGAGGAAGACAGAGATGAGATGATGGACGACTCTGGGGAACGGTTTTTATTTAATGTCCATATGCCAGTAAAAATTTGAAGAACAGTCAATAACTTCATATTGCAATTACTTACGAAATTAAATATATACATACACACACACACATATATATATATATATATATGTATGTATGCATGGTGCAGCATGTTCTCCACTTTCCTTGACTTGGCTAATTACTTGGGCATCCTTAATTATTGCTCAAGAGTTCAGCAGGCATATTTGACTATTGCAAATCCAATGACAACCAAGTTAAACTTGGAAAACACATTACTATATATATATATATATGTGTGTGTGTATATTTAATTTAATAAATAATATATTTTTTTAAAAGATTATGAATTCGACTGGGACTGTATTTTTATTTATTTAAAAATTATTTATGTTGTAATATAATTATTATATATTAATAAAAAAAGATTAGTCTCCTAATTATATATTAATAAGATATTGAAGTCCACTAATCTACTTTGTAAAGCTGTACTTAACAGAGTCAACCCTCCTAGTTGAATGTGAAAGCAGATGAACGATGACACGCTCGCTTCCTTCATAATCTATGAATTATTCTTTTGGTAAATTTAGTCTGAAATTGTACCGTTCAAGTAACGATTCATATACGCACATATATATATATATATATTTAAATGGAGCAGTGTCCTTCGTGTAATAAGACTGAGAGAGAAAAGAACGAGACATGTAAAACATATACATACAAAAAATAAGACTACCAAGTTTGAGCAAGTGTTCTTCCTTGCAAGCTCTGACTGGTTGAAATCAAAACCTTGCCTGCTCTTCTCTTTGCTTCTTCTACTCTCTCTGTGCATCTTGAAATGTTCATGGACGACCAAGCTTTCTTCCTTCTTCCTCACTTACTACCCTCCATCTCTACCAGAAGTCATTACCATCCTATGTTTTTTTTTTTTTAACAGCTTATGTGACTTTAACAGGTGTATGATTCGTCAAAATGGAAAATAAAAAAAGTTTAACCTTCTGTTAACGCCATCAACCCGCATGGGATAGACACGGTAGCTACCGAAAATCATAGCATCCTTCAAGATAAAATCTATTCAAGCTTCATTTTGTACGAGTATTCAGTTACAAGTCAAGAGATGGCAATCACAGACATCCACACTGGTTTGTAGGAATTTCAACAAACAGATTGTATGATCCTTGAATCATGCTTTAATGGTAAGGAAAAGGAAAACTTGCAGGCCAGCCCCAATTTATACTTCAAGTACTCATTGCGTGACTCAAGTATTCTAATTCTCACAAGCATCATCTTAGTTCTAAGAGGAATCACATAAAGCTTGGAGTTCAGCAAGCAGAGATGTGGGTTTGCTTTGACCCCCCTCCTAGTTTGTTAATGATCACCTGAACACATCTTCCTCCTCTGCCATACAAATTCTTGTCTTTTGTTTTCGGAAAAAATAATCCAAGCCCATCATCTGCCTCCAGTGGTTGTCTCTGTTGCGAGAAAATTCTGTAAAAGTTTTCTTACCTTCTCTTGATTTTGCCTAAGATCTCTTTCCCTCCATTTAATCAAACAAACAATCACCAAAAACAAAAGGAGAAAATAGAGAAGGAAAGCAAACACCAAAGGCAAATAAATCCATGACTGGGCACCCACTTCAGCCATTCATCTTCGCATTCTCTTCCTTGCATTTCTTGTTCTTGCTTTTGTGATTCCACAACTCAGCTGACGAAGATGGATCTGAAACAAAAACAAGCCCAAAATAAAGTTAGCGGATCTTAAGGTAGAATTTGGAACTGATTGGAAATATCAAAATCAAAAGCAAAAGCAAATGGAAACCAAGGGAAAACTGTAACCTGAATGAGAAACATCATGTTTGCTCTCGTCTTTTCTCTTCCATCCTTATCACAAACACCAAAAAGTCTCCATCTCTCCTCTCGATTTCTTTTTCTCTACCTCTCCCTCTCTGGAATTTTCTCCAAGCTTCTATATCTGCTTTGCTCTCTTTTCACCCACCACCCAGACTATTAAATAACATCTTATCCCTCTACCTCTGTCACTGCTGTTTATTGCCCCCTGCAACCTGTCACCGAAATGAATAGAAAAAAGAATCCACTCAAATCATCTTCTCTTCTTTGAAAACTTGATCTGCATCTCCACTCACACTTAAGCACCTTTCTCTCTTACACAGTCTTTCTGAAATTGGATTTCCATTCGCACTTTTTCTGACCCCACAAATTCTAATTAAATGCAGCAAAGAAAAATTCTTGCAAAACATTGGATTTTTGCAAGAACCAAAGCAAAAAAATTCTGAAGCTCTTGGGCAATGTGGCATTTAAAACCCCATTCCTAGCACTTCTAAAGTTAACATCAATGATAACTAACCGTACAACATAGATTTATAGTCACCACGTAAAGGGACAATCTGTCCAAGGAATCCAATTTATATAGCTGATCACCATGGAGAACAATTTCCCATCAAAGGAATAAGATCTCTTTAATATGTAGATGTATATGGCAGATCATTATGCTGCTACATTTCCCATATGGTTCTGCAATAACTCTTTTTCTTTCTTTTTCCTGCAAGAAGAGTAAAAATTGTTAGCACTCTCAAGAAACTCAATCAAACAAATCTAAATCAAATTTAAGCCCTATGTCCAAATGCAAATTCTGTGAATATTCCAACAAATTACTTGACTTTTTTTTTTTGTTTTGAAATAACCAACAAATTACTTGAATTTTTTTTTTTTTTTGAAATAACCAACAAATTACTTGACTTAACATGAAATCACGTAACAAAATAAGTGTAAAGAAACTTACTTATCATATGATTTGATTAGTGACATTGGCCTCTCATATCCTTCTTCCTTTTTCTTGGGTTTTGATTGACTTGCCTGCCTTGATTCAGGTTTCCATGAGGCTTTAGCAAGTGATTCACCCAACAATTCAGCAATGCCTGTTGCCATAGCCTCTGCCTTCTCTGCATATGGAAAACTTTCAGACCTGAATTGATGAGACAACCAGAGATACATAGACAAAACTTGATGCCTGCTCTCAAGATCCAAGAGTTCTGAATCATTTGTAGCAGATCCTTTAGGCATGCCCATGGCAATATTGACAGGCACTTTTTGACTGTAAGCTGAAGCAAACCTAAGAAGATGATACATTGCTTTTGGATCTCTAATGTTCACAGGAGCAAAACAAAAATTGAACCGATCTTCCAGAGATAATCCTTGGACCTTCTCCAACATATTTGCTACCTTCTTTATATGGTCATGGCGACACAGGAAGTATGATCCATCCAGACGGCAATTTTCCCCAAACTTGTCAAGCAACTTGGAAAAAGTAACACTGGAGAGTTGCCCAGCAAATAACTCAACTTGTTCAAAGAAAGGAAACAGACCCACTTTCTTAACTTCTTCAAAAGGCTGTTGCAAACACTCAATTAGATAATTCAAATCTTCTAGGTGTAAAGTCG